TGCAGAGGATACGCCGCGGAGTCCGATCTTCATGTGGGAATAACCAGCAGCAACGGTAAAAATAATAATAATAATTTAAAAAAGCGTCGTGGTGGTCCCGTAGAGGTGCCCGTCTTGCCGCACCTCGCCCCCGCCGCCCAAGGTAACCCCGATGGGGTTAGGGAAGAGCAGCACGTGGTAAAAAAAAGAAATAAAAATCAGAAATCTTGGGGCGCAGGGGTTGAGCTCGCCTCGCAGCACACGGGGATCCCAGGCAAGCCTTGTGCTGCGTGGGACGGAGCTGACGGGCGACTTGTGGACCTGGCAAAGGGACATCAGGAGCCAGGAAGCCATGGTTCTGTGGTCACAGAGTGATCACAGCATCGTTCTGTGGTTACAGAGTGATCACAGCATCGTTCTGTGGTTATAGAGCGATCACAGCATCGTTCTGTGGTTACAGAGTGATCATAGAATCGTTCTGTGGTTACAGAATCACAGAACGTTGGCGTTGGAAGGGACCTCTAGAGCTCACCCAGTGCCACCCCCTGCCCGAGCAGGGTCACCCAGGGCAGCCCCACAGGAACGCGTCCAGGCGGGTTGGAAAGTCTCCAGAGCAGGAGACTCCACACCCTCTCTGGGCAGCCTGGGCCAGGGCTCCGGCACCCGCACAGCCAACACGTTTCTCCTCACATTGATCTCAGAATCATTCTATGATTATAGAATGATCACAGCATCATTCTATGCTTATAGAATGATGATATAAATTTCTATGGTTATAGAATCATCATAGAATCATTCTATAATTCTTTGAAGAAGTTGCAGGAGATTTTGACTTAAGCACAGTTTTTGCTAATTTTGAAAATACCCCTTAGGTAAAAAAAAACAACAAAATTTTCAAAAGCCATATTGAAAACGGTACCAGGCTCTAGAGTGGGCCCACCCTGCAAAATCTCACTGCAGATACTGAATATAAAGGTGTTTAAATCCAGGGGGGGCTGCAGAAGAAGGCTGCCTGTCCTTAAAGTTGCTTTCGTTATCAGAAGACACCTGCAATTACATGGGGAAAAAGGGGAACAGGTGTTTGATAAAGCAGGGGGGCACTTTCTCCTCTGTAGCGGTGCAGGCCACCGGTGGGCAGCTCAGGCACGGCCAGTCTGAGGAGGAACGACTGTGTGGAAAACTAGTAGTAGCTTCCATCACTTAGAAAACCTCACACCAGGCTTCGGATGTGGTTCTCCAGGGCCAGTGACTGTGCTGTGGCTCTGTGTTCCCAGGTGTGGTGTATAATTACACCGAGGAGGGCGTTGGCAGGGCTGAGACGGGCTGGGAGCAGTGCATCAGTATCCCCCTAGTGCAGCCAGACGTCTTCTGGCTTCTTCAGCAGTGGGATGAGCTCCTAGAGGAATTCTCTGCGGGAGAGGCCTGGCTTCCTCACAGGTACGTAGTTTAAAAGCGGGACGCCAGTGGGGTTTTTAGGCTGGGAGGAGGAATCAGGCTGTTCTGTTTTGGACCCTGCAAGGTTTGTGGGTCAGTCAGAGCCTCGCTCCTTCAGAGCACACATCTCTGCTGCCAGCCTCAACGACGCTGTCAGGCTGTCCTGAAACCTGCCAAAGGGAGAGAGAATATTTTTAAGTTGTAAGGAATAAACTCTTCTGCTGCAGCTTTTGTGTTCCAGCTCTAAAGTAAAAATCTTGGTTTATGTCACATCTATGTTACGCTCTAAAATAACAGATCATTATAGGGAAGTTTTCTTCAACAAAAAAATTTTGCATGAAAATTCCCCCCCACATTGCAGTGAAACATTCCCTTTAAGATTGTGCTGCTGAGTACAAAGGCAGAGAAAGCCAGGCACAATTCTGTAATATTTCTTCTAGGTTTCGACAGTTTTAGGAGCATTTGCATTTAAAGGCTGGCCGCACCGATGGGATTTTTCCCCAGATGTAACACCCAGGTGCCTGACTTGTTCTCTGTGATCAGAAACGGGAAATGTGGTCGGGCTCATTTCCGCCTGGCTCTTCACACTGGTCTGGGTGGTTAAGTACAGAAAGATGCCACATATTTTGAATTAAACCAGGACCTTCCAAGGAGAACGTTCAGAAATTGCTGCCGATGGGAGTTGGGCCGGCACACCGAATAGCAACCGTATCGACATATTAGAGATAGACTTTACCTGATTTTAAGTAAGCTTCCAAGTTGATGCCACATGGAAACAAGTGTGCGGGGCAGCGCACGATTAACGTTCCTGTTGCAGGAAGGAACAGGGTAACAATACACAGAAGAGCAAAGGTTAACAAGGTAAAAGCCAAGTAAGAACTCATTATGGCAAAGTCTGCAGCCCTCTTTTTTTTCCATGCTCACTTTCTTGTATCCCTGGCTGGAAAGCACAGTCTGTGATGAAGGGGACTTCCTTAAAGCACCAGCATTAAAGGAAGGGGGCAGGAGTTCTCAGAGAATGTGCACTTCCTTATTTCATTCCGCAGAATATCTGTCCACACGCAGTAATTAACGGGTCACTGCTGACTCATACTAACGAGGTATTCTTCCCAGGTACAACGAACACGACCACAACTGCTACACGTACGCGCTGGCATTCATTAACAGCGTGCTGACTGCGCAGGGCAAGCGGCAAATGAGCAAAAGTGAATTTACAGAGAGATTCGTGATCCCGCAGACCAAGAAAGCTTCCAAATACATGACTGTGCATCAGGCCCTAACAGCTCACGACTTCTACATTGTACCCCTTGCTGATCAAGAAAGCCAGCCCTGAAAATGACAAGCTGTGATATAAGGGAGGGCCTGTGGATTGAGATAAGGACAGGGAGATCACCCGCAGCTACTGTCCCGGCAAAACGGACTCAGGTTTGGGGAAATCAATTAAATTTATTAACAATCAAAATCAGAGAAGAATAATGAGAAATAAAAGCAGATCTTAAAAGTAACACCTTTCTCCCATCCCTCCCTTCTTCCTGGCTCAACACCAATCCCGGTTTCTCCACCTCCTCCCCCCGAGCAGTGCAGGGGGACAGGGAGTGGGAGTTACGCTCAGTTCACCCGATGTTGGTCCCACCGCTGCTTCTTCACTCCGGAGGAGGACTCTTC